TATAACCAAAAGGCACACACTGGCAGAATGAGTAAGAAAACACAATCCTACTATGTGCTATCTACAAGAGATATACTTTATTTTCAAAGACACAATAAGCTGAAAGTAAAAGAATGGAAAAAAATACTGTACTGTTAAAAAGTATAGTCTAAAGCTACCCCCTTACATACATTAAGTTCAGCCTAAAGGTTTCTCCGTACATAGCGAACTGTAACTCAACTGGATGTGTAAACAGACTGTAACCTATTCTTGTACCAATCACCAAGTTTCAGCCAATCAAAGACAGCCAACTGTTGAAACTGTGTTCAAATAAGGCACACCCAGGTGTAACCAATCCAACTGTTTCTGTACCTCACTTCCGTTTTCTAGATGTTATTTTTTTTTTTTCTGTTCATAAATTTTCTCCAATTCAGCAGTACAAAGTCACTCTGAACCTATTCTGGCTGGGGGCAAAGGGGATGGAACAGAGGGTCCTGCTCTATTCAGGAATCGTTCTTTACTCAAACTCTGTTATATTACAGTTGCTTAGTCCAAACTTTCTCTCACACCCCATATTCAATCTGTCATAATACCCCAATGCTCTACTAATAACATATATATCCAATACTAGCCATTTCTTCTCGCTTATACTGCCACCCTACTATCCAAACTTGCACAAGCTCTGGCTAATGCCTGGACAATTTCATCATCCTCCTTTCTGGTCTCTCTACCTTATCCCCATTGTCTATTTTCATCCCAAAGGCTAACATCCTTTTGAAGTGTAGATAAGATCACTCTGCTTAAAATCCTCTGGCTTTCCATATCAATGCATATAAGTCAGAACCCTGTCAATGGTTTAGAAGGCCCTACCCAATCTGCCCATGCTCACTGTATGTCCTCTCAGACCTCACTTGCTAGGTCACCCCATTACAGATACACTGTCCTCTTTTTCAACCTAAATACAGCAGACGCACATGTCTTTGTCAACAATGTTCTCCTAGCAGATATCCTCATGGATTATTCCCTCACCTCCTTCAATTCTCTCCTCATTTTATCAGCTTCTTATTGAAGCCTTTCCTGATCACCCTATTGAATACTGCCACCAGACCCCCATACCTCTCCCAATCCCCTATATATTGCTTTATTAACTTCCTAGGGCTGCTATAACAATGTACCACAAACTGGGTGGCTGATACAACAGAAATGTGTTATCTCATAATTCAGGAGGCTAGAAGTCAAAGATCAAGGTGTTGGCAGGGTTGGTTCCTTAGAAGAGCTGTGAGGGAGAATCTGTTTCAAGTCTCTCTCTCAGCTTCTAGTAGCCTCAGGCAATCCTTGTCTTGTAAATACTGTTCTCTAGTATCTTCACATAGTCTTCCCTCTATAAATGTCTGTGTCTAAATTTCCCCTTTTTATAAGGACACCAGTCGTATTAGATTAGGGCCTGCCCTAACAATCTCATGCTAACCTGATTATCTCCAAAATAAAGTCTGTGAAAATCTCATATCCAAGTAAGTTCACATTTTGGGGTACTAGGGGTTAAGACTTCTACATTTCTTTTTGAAAGGGGATACAGTTCAACCCATAACAGCTAGTACAACCATAGAGGAAGCTGAGAGGGAGCAAAACTTGGTACAAATGGACAACAGTCAGCACAGGCCCAGCCCATGATAATTGTTTTGTGCCCTCACCCTTTATTCAGGTACTCCTTCCATATTAGGTTCACAGTCTACCCAAATGTTAGGCTTTGCCTCTAGTTTTCAGCTCTGTGCTCATGTTTAACCTGAAGCTAGAATGTGACTTTTATAGCTCACCCTTTAACTCTTCACAATTGAATCACTTTAACACTATATCACTTAATTCTGGACCCCTGGCAAGCTGCAGTCTCTCTTTTAAACCAGTTGGCTCTTAGCTCAGGTAAGCCAGCACTGGGGACATCATTTTTCTACCACATGAGTTTGAAACAATGCATTCTTATTATCCGTACTTAATGATGCAGTCTTGACAATTCTCCTACCTTAATCTCATATACACACCCTTCTTTTCACTCCTATTTTTACTATCACAAATTCAAGTTCATACTACCACTTGTTTGAATCATTAAAATAGTCTCCCAGTTGGCTACTATGCCTCTACAGTATTACTTTCTAATCCAAGAAACCAACTGCTTTGGAGATATTCCTGAAATTTAGCCTGATTGCCTTGTTCTCCCACTTAAAAGAGATGAAACATGCAGGTTCAAATGAACATTTGGTTTGAATTCTAGCTCTGACAACTACTTGTCACAAGACCTTGGGCAAGTTATTTAGCTCCTCTGAGCATTAGTTTTTCTCTAAAATGAATATTGTAATATCTACTACAAACAACAAGAGTAGTTATGAATATTTCAGAGAACACATTAAAGATGGTCTATTACCTTCTAAGGCTGTCCACTGCCTAACAAGTAAGATCTGCACACCCTTACAAGATAATCAAACCCAGTTTTGGACAGTCCAGTCTAATCACCGATGGCTCCCCCTCAGTTCCTATGCGAGACCACTAGAGACTCTTCAATCATACAAGGCATTTAAGACTCTCTTTTCTTCTGTTATCTGCTCAGCCTAAAATACCCTTTTCCCAAATCTTCCCCCATCATTTTTCTAACAGTTACTTAAGGCCCAGCTCAAGTATCATATCTTTTAAGAACTGACTAATACAATCTTTTTTTTTCAGCTGAGTTTTATTTGTGCTTCTCTTATACCATTTATTCAGGTTACTTACACACTAGTCTTTCTTTCTTATTAGGGCTGGTACTATGTGTTTTATCCACTATATTACTCGGTACTCTGTACTACAAACAGAAGCATTAAAGAAAAATAATAGTGACACTTAGAATTCTAAGATTAATTTCCAATACTATTTACAAAATTTATCCCAAAAAATTTATGTAGTCACCTACCCTATCTACATGTTTACAATGGAAATTGAATATGTTCAATAAACTGGGACATGTCTAAAGGAAGATATAACTTAAATTATATAATTGAAACAGAAAGAAGAAATAAGACTTTTATGTCTGATTCATGGGGAATAATATAATTTTAATAACAGTTAGTCCTATCAATTCAAAAGGATAAACCTTGTCACTTTATTTCATTTTAAAAGATAATTTTCACAAATTATCAAATAATTCAATTTCAGAAACACTCAAACATAACAAGTGATCATATACATGTTCAAAATGTGGCACCAAGCTACATACCAATAAAATTTTGAAGATATTTTATGAAAAATAATCATATTTGATCACTTCTGCCAGACTGGAGTATATATGTAATTCCTAAATAGTAAATAGGAGAAGAAATAAATAAGCAAATCATAAACTAAAAAGGAATGATCAAATAGTCGACTCCAGTATTCAAACATAAATTAACATTCTTTTTTTTTTTTTTTTTTTTTTTTTTTTGAGGCGGAGTCTCGCTCTGTCGCCCAGGCTGGAGTGCAGTAGCCAGATCTCAGCTCACTGCAAGCTCCGCCTCCCGGGTTCACGCCATTCTCCTGCCTCAGCCTCCCGAGTAGCTGGGACTACAGGCGCCCGCCACCTCGCCCGGCTAGTTTTTGTACTTTTTAGTAGAGACGGGGTTTCACCGGGTTAGCCAGGATGGTCTTGATCTCCTGACCTCGTGATCCACCCGTCTCGGCCTCCCAAAGTGCTGGGATTACAGGCTTGAGCCACCGCGCCCGGCCTCAAACATAAATTAACATTCTAAGTGAATAAAAAAGACTGCATTATGGCTTTTTTGTCACACATCTATTCTAGAACATACAAGAAGAGAAAAACCATAGAGATGCATGTAGTATACAGATACAAGCAGGGCCATAGTGAAAGAATGGTTACAAAGATGAGAAAGAGAGAGTGGGAAGCACCTGCTTCCAATTTGTCTAATATACACTGTAAATAGTACCTGCTTCCTTGACTGGAAAAGCTCTAAGAGAAAACTGCTCCACTGCATTAGAATGCATGCATATATATGCTTATACTCTCATGTAGCTGTACTGAAAGATATCATATGGGTCTCAAAATTCAGGCAGGGCAAATCTCAGTAACAAGATCACACAATAACCTATCCATGGTAAGGCTCTAAAGATAAGGATAGATTTGAACATAACTCTAAACATTATTTTAAGTCCTCCCCATGTCCACACAGCATGCATTTCAAACTGGACCAAGTAAAGACTCCAACACCATCTAGAGAGAAAAGCAGTGGTTTTGCTGTGGGGATATCATCTCTCCAGGTATTGAATCCCTGACCTCTCTCTTAGCGTAATAACTAATTATCTCATATTTTAAAATAATCAATGCATATATATATGTAACAGATTTAAGCTATAAGAAGAGTACAAATATTTTCCATCTATGTGCAGTAAAAAAGATTACTTGCAGGCAAGTTTACTGAGTATCTGTCTCTTTTGGCTTTTTAATTCCCAGGAATGTTTGAGCTGACCAATAAGACTTTGCTACTAAGTTCAATTCTCAATGCTTCGTCGCTTAATGGACTACACAATGGCCCTATTTTATATCATTAACCTTTCTGTGGGCCTGATGAACTAAGGGCTCTCTCCACAGAAATATCTATTTAAAAGTACATATAAATATAAGATTTTTGCCAATGGAGAATTTTTGTCTTAGAAGCTGTCCTAACATCTGAACGTTGCTTACCTTCCTTACTTTCTCCAAAACCCTCTGGAAATCTATTTCCAGAGCCTAAGTTTGTATACTAATTCCTCCCATTTCCACCACTTAGCAGGGTAAAATGCCCTTCCTGCACTGTTTCTTTATAATCCTATAATTCTCTTATAAATTAAATGACTGTATGCATTATGCTGTATTATTTTAGTTGATTTCCTATCAACTAGAAGTGTTTACTCTGAACTCCAGCTTCTCTCAATGCACCCTGTTGCATCCTGCCACAAGGCCTTTGCACCTGCTGCTCCCTTCAGACAGCAATTAAGGCTCACTTCCTAAGGGAAGCCTTTCTTACCTGACCATAGCAGGTTCTTTTCTGATGCTCTCAGACATCATTTTTTTTTTCTTCCCCTCTGGAATGAGAGCTCCTTAAGACCAGAAACTGCGTCAGGTCCCTTTCTATATATCCAGCAAGTCCTAGGGCAAAAATGGTATTCATTAAGTATCCATCAATCAAAACCATAGGTTGACAATTACTGAAGCCAGGCAACTGGTACATGCAGAGTAGGGGAGGGAGGGTGTTTCATTCTGTGTGTGTGTGTGTGTGTGTGTGTACCTGAAATTTGTTTAACATTGGGGGAAAAACTCTTTGTGAAAAAGAGACTTATAGCTATATATAAGTAATCTTCAATAAGTAAAAGAGTCTATAAACAAACTGAACTTGTTCAGTTTTGCCACTGAGAACTAGTATCAATGAGTAAAATCCAGAATTTTGGCTTCACATAAGAAAGAATTCTCCATTACTTAAAAGCATCTGGAAGTAAAGCTGGTTCCAAAGAAGAAAGGGAGGACTTTGCCACTGGGGTAGTTATACTCAAGCAGTTGGATAATCAGTGGATTCCTAGTTAGGGGATTAAAGGACCAAATGGGAAAAAGGAACTTGAAGAAATCTTCAAATCTTTTGAATATCTGAAAACAAAGTTTATTGTCTTAAAATAGATATACGGAAGTCAATATAATGATACACAGAAGTCAATATAAAAATAATTATTGATTTCACAGTTTGTATACAGCATATATAAAGAATGAAGTTTTTACTTAAAACTAATCTCCTTGAAAGCCTTATCTTGCAGGTGTTCACTCTGCACTCCAGCTTCTCTCAATGTGCCCTGCTGCATCCTGCCACATGGCCTTTGCACATGTTGCTCCCACTGGCGCCCACCACCACGCCCGGCTAATTTTTGTATTTTTAGTAGAGACGGGGTTTCACCATGTTAGCCAGGATGGTCTCGATCTCCTGACCTCGTGATCCTCCCACCTCGGCCTCCCAAAGTGCTGGGATTACAGGCGTGAATCACCGCACCTGGCCCAAGGCATTATTTTTATACTTTATCATGTAAATATAACATATTTTCAGTAACTTTTAGCTACACAATACACAAAATAAATTTATTTCTCAGAACACTTATAAGATTGTGATAAGCCAAATGATGCTGAAGTCAAACTGTGGGTTATTAAGCTGGAAGAATATATTGTATGGACATGAAGTTTAACGAGGATGTTTAGGTAATAAAGAAGTAATGAGAGATTCAGGACAGATGGACAAGCGGACAAGCATCAGGTCATATAAACTATTTCCACATGTATGTCTGAAGGAAGATATGAAAATGCCCAAGATAGGAATCATTTGTGTTGCTAAGAAACACTAAGGTTGATGAGTAAACTGTCTCTCTTACAAAGACCAGCTAAAATCATGTCATTTATCAATGCAACTCGATTAATAACTATTCACTTTAGAAAACAGATAAAATAAACCAAAAGAAAGGCAAAAATTTTAACACTCAGAAATCACTAATGTATATAATGTATACAGGGACATTTAGTGTAGTATTTTATTGACTTCCATCAAAAGTGTTCATTTAGGACAAAGTTACAAGATTCTACCTTTGGCTTTAAAATTATGACTAAAAAAACACTCTATTAAAGTACAAAAAAATATTCTATTCACAAAAAAAATCACTTATAGCTAATACACAAAGTATTTCAAATTCCAAAGAAATAAATTCTAACAAGGCTAAACAACACTGTTTCAGGACTATTTCATTTTTGTTTCAATTTTGGAAAAATAACCCTGATGTTTGAATCAGAGCCACGTTCCAACACTGCACAATGTTGAAACCCCTCAGGCTCAATCCTATTTCTTATAAACTTTAGCTTTAATTTTGGTCCCAACATGAACTTTCACCCAGACTACACTTTCACCCAGGTCACCATCACCATTATTAGGGCCAACCGTGGACTCGGTCTCTCCTGCACTTCAGAGACAAATGACAAAACAAGAAAAAGGTGAAGAGAAGTCTTCAAAATGAGTATAAACTTCAAAGAATGATTGCTTTATAATGAAATAATTTATATCGGAGAGGTGTGAATTTGGAAAAGACTTAGCTTAGTTTGCCCTACATATGGAAAACTATTATTATTACTGTTTTAGTTTTATAAGTTGATTTCCTCTGATATTAAGGAATAATGTATTATGTGATTTGCTAACATTCCAAATCTACAAATTAGAAAATACAAGAGTCAAAAAAATCCTTTACCTTTTCATCATGAAAATCTTAAATTATACCCAACAGTACGGAGAAAAGTTCAATGAACCACCATCACCCAGCTTCAACAATTATCATTACTCTGTCAATTTTACCTACAAGAAATACATTATTGAATAATGCAAGAGCAAACTGAATTGAGACATTCTTTTAAAAGTGTGCCCGCCAGGTTGACCACGCAGAAATGATGGATTTCATGTAAAAACTTTGTTTTTGTCTCTTTCTGGTCTATTAAACCTACTCAAGAATAAACCAACTCCTGGCCTATAGTAAAAATTCATATAATCCTCAGAACTTTTCTGGTCCCTCGTAAGTAAGAGAAAATCATATAGTCAATTTAAATGACAGGTGTGAGCCACAGAGCTGGGCTGGATTCCATCTCTTAAAAAAAAAAAAAAAAAAAGTCTTAGGTAATCAGGGAAAATTGAATATGGACTGTATAGTATACATTATTATACCAATGGTAAAGACCTCGGTGTGGTAACAGTATTATGACTACATAGGAGAATATGTTAATTCTTAAGATAAACAAGCTGAAGGGGTAAAATGTCACTTTTGAAAGGTTCAGCCCCATCCCACTGCCCAAAACAGTATATATATGATATATACTGTGGCTACATGTTAATAACTGGTAAAAGGTATGGGGTGTTTATTATATTGTATTGTTTCAACATCCAATAGGCTTCAAATTCTACAAAATAAAAAGACTAGACCCAAATAACAACCAAAACTCCAAAGTACACGTAACATTAAATCTATGCTCTTCACTCAGCTGGGGCCTGCCCAGCGCCAGCCACTGTCAGTGAAGGAACAGGATCCTCCTCATCTCACCAATTTCTCTTCCACCATCTTCCTGAGTTTTCTGAGCCCACCAGGATCAAGGTCAGGAAAGGGAGGAGAGGTCAGGCATACAAGACAGTTCTTGATTGCTATCTGTAGCAAAATGATCTAGGGCTATGGCAGAGGGGATATGGCAGAGTGTTTAACACTAATTCTTCCTCTCTTGGGGAGCTTATGTGCACTCTTCCAATGGTATACTCTTCCAATTGCAAATATCCTGCCAGAGACACTGCTCTCTCTCTGCTAAAAGCTCTTAATGCCTCCTTAGCTTCTGACCCCTGGTGGTACACAAACAGCCCATTACTGCTGGGATCTTCTTGCCCTGGCAGGAGACTTCTTCTTCGGCAGGATCCCTTTAAAAATGACAGGTTGATTTCCCTGTTGACAGAGAAGAGTGCAATTACTTCCCAAACCCACCGCTACTGCTATAGAACACTTCAGCTTTCCCAGGTGGAGTCAAGCACCAATATCTTGTGACCCCAAGATAGACTTTAGTTGAAACTTCTCTCACTAGACTTGACAAAAGATTCAGAGACCTCTAACTTGTGAGAGACAAGGGTAAGACATACAGCACTCTGATGACCTGCAGAAAAATTCGTCTAACAAAATCTTACCCCCAGCCCCCCGCTTTGATAGCACCTATGTGAGTAAAGGGATTCAAATGTCACAAAACCAGCTTTCTATAATTCTGCATATGGTCTAGCACTTCCTTTGGATATAGACGCATGTGTTGAATACTGGTGCCTCAATTCAAAGTTCCAGTTTATCATCCTAGGAACTCTATTAATGGTGTATTCTCTACACACATCTTGGAAAGCTGTTGTGAAGGCTAAAAACTTCTCACATGTAAAACTTACAGAACAGCACTTGGGCTCACAGTAAGCCCTTACTTAATGCTAGTTACTACTATAATATAGAGTTCTCTTTTCAAATTTTTTAGAAATTTCAAAAACAAGTGTTGGTAAGAATATGGAAAAACTGAAATCCATGTACACTGCTGGTGGGAAAACAAAATGGTGCAGCCACTACGGAAAACAGTACACCAGTTCTTCAAAAAATAAAAATATGATCCTGCAATTCCACTTCTGGGTATACATCTCAAAAGAAATGAAATCAGGGACTTGAACAGATTATTTGTACACCTACATTCATAGTAGCATTGTTCGCAACAGCCAAAAAGTAGAAGAGTCCATCAATGGACAAATGGAGAAATAAAATGTGGTATATGTATATACAATGTAGTATTATTCACCCTCAAAAAGGAAAAACATTCTGACATATGCTACAACATGAATGAACCTTGAAGATATTATACTAAGTAAAATAAGCTAGTCGATCAAAACATGGCAAATGCTGTATGATTCCACTTGTATGAGGTACCTAGAGTAGTCTGCCAGGGACTGCCAGGTTGCCTGCGGAGTGAGTACCCACTGCCTAATGGGTACAGTTTCAGTTGAGGAACATGAAAAGCTTTGGATAAAGATGGTAGAGATGGCTGCACAACAATGGGAATGTACTTAATGCCACTGACCTGTACACTTAAAAATGGTTAAAACAGTAAATTTTATGTTAGGTTCATTTTACCACAGTAAAAACTATTTTTTAATTGTCTATAATTAAATGGTCAAATGATACACAAATTGCATGAAATAAATATAAATGAACAAGTGGGGGAAAATGCTAATGCAAGCCACTACCCTACATCCAGTAATCTCACTCCTAAATACACAGCCCAAATAACTTACACATAAAACAAGTATTAAAATTGTGTGCAGATGTTCATCACAGCATTATGTCTAAGTGGTTTTAGAGGCAATCCATACATCCATTACCTGGATAACTTACAAAGGAACCAAACTATGTTTAGAAGTATTTAGCTAGAGATATACACCATAACATGTCTAAATTAAAAAGTGTCAAAAGTGAAAAAGAAAGCTTGAAGTTTGAATTTAAGATATACATAATATACAAACTGTTCTATATTTTTCAAAGACATGTGCCAATCCAAGGTAATATGCCAAACACATGCAAGTCAAGGTCTACTAAGGGAGACTGGGACAGGGGTGCAAAACAGGGGTAGGGATAGGGGATAAAGGAAAAAATAACTCAAAACAAGAAAACGGTCTTGTCCAGTCTATTGATGAGTATATGTTATCAGCTAAGGAGGATAAGTAATGCAAATCTGTGAACCAGAAGCCCCCAAAATTTTTAGCATTAACTATATTTCCTTTCCCAAATATCTGCAAATGTTTACTCTGAGGCACTCTTAATCATAAGCATTTAGTCTGACCATCTGTTTACTAAAGGCTAGCACATTGAAAAAAATAAAGAAAATGGGTTTTTTTTCTAGCCAATAGCAATGTCAATGTTTTAATCTTTATTAAAAAAATCTGATTAAGACCAAAATCCTTCCAATAAACCATTTTTTACATTTCTATTACCTTTACACAAAATACCACAGCTATGCACCTAGTAAAAAAAATATGTACCTTTTTTCTTTTGTCTTAGTTTAGTGTTTGCTTGGGGTTTTTTTGTTGTTGTTTTTTTGGGTTTTTTTTTTTGAGACAGTCTCTCGCTCCGTTACCCAGACTGGAGTGCAGTAGCATGATCTCAGCTCACCGCAACCTCCGCGTCCCAGATGCAAGTGATTCTCCTGCCTCAGCCTCTGGAGTAGCTGGGACTACAGACGCGCAGCACCACGCCCAGCTAATTTTTGTATTTTTAGTAGAGAAGGAGTTTCGCCTAGTTGGCCAGGCTGGTCTCAAACTCCTGACCTCAAGTGATCCACCCTCCTCGGCCTCCCAGAGTGCTGGGATTACAGGCATGAGCCACC